TACCAGGTGAACATTACAATACGATGCACTATGCGAACGCGATTTGGACCATGAAAAAATAAATAATACCTATTGAACGCCGTGGGACCGAGCCAATAAGTTAGGCTTACGTGTATGTCTTACAACCTTTATTTCACTCAATTACAACTTCGATTACATTCTTGGAGAAATATGTTCTATATAGGCATTAGATATACTAAAACTATTGATTATTGAGCACAAAATCATTAAACGGAAATAATCATTTGGGAACGAAATGCATCGATTACAAAACGCATTGTGTGCTTCAACACGAAATCTAAGGCAGTAGATCTAAGGCAATAGATTTCTTTTTTTCTTTTTCATTCACGCTGTTTCTTGAGATGCAAGATCTCGAAATTTGAAACGTGATTTTCAGTTGAATTGAAAATCGCAATGCCCGCAAATACGATCACGAGAAAATTAATTTAAATGCATACTTTTAAATAATTATTACGCGTCTTTGTGCTAATAAATTTTTGAAGTTGAGACTTTTAATTTTTTTTTAAATTTGTGAAAAATTAAAACTCTCAAATTAATTTAAGATTCGAAATTTTATCTCGCAATTTGATAATAAATTTGATAATAAAAGTATGTTGATAATAAAAGTAAGTTCTAATATAGAGATTACATGTGACATATTTTCTTTATTCCTGCATTTTTAAGATAGAAACTCAAAATTACACAAGACCTATAGAGAGCGTGTTTTAAAATAATTCATAAAATTATATCGCGAATTATGCAATGTAATTTTATATATGTACATCATTTTTGAAGCACATTTATTATAATGTATCTAGATTGGCACATTGTTGATATTTTTCCTGATAAAAAGTTAGTAAAAAAGTTATTGCTTTTATGAAGAAATCGAGGCAAATGTAATCACTGCTCCTCAATTACTGCATTTCCATACAGCCATTAAGGTATTATTATTATATAGATCTTAAAATAAAGATTCATGTCTTTCAGCTTTACAAAATTATTCATTTAAATAAAATAATTCTTAAAAATTCGAACGATTCAAGACAGAGTTATTCTTATTTTATAAGAATCTACAACATCGTATATTTATCAATGATAATAGGATGAAGTAAATATATTTATTATATCATACTTCTGATCGTTTTTTTTTTTTTTTTTTAATACTTTCTTATTTATAATATAACAGTATTATTATAATCAAAAAATACATCAACTAGATATAGGAAAAAAACATTTGAATATTATATCGATACACGTGTAGTGTCTTATTTAGGTCTTTTTCTCTCATACATATTATCATATAGAAGAAATTATTAGAATACTGTAGACTAGCTTATGAAAATATATCACGATTTTTTAACATTGTTCATGGACTACAATAGTTATCACGAAATGTCATCAGTCTTAAATCACATCATATTATTTTGGTTTCTCTACAAAATTAAAAGCTTCAATCGTATTGAGCTCGAATTTCTTTTTCTTATGATACATTGTACCGATTGGTTGTATCAAATTTAAATACGAAAACTATACCATTGAAGCTATAATAAAATCAGTAATAGGATATATCCCTTATATATGCAATGCAATTAATATTGTCCATATAACTGATTCAATTAATAATATATATATATATATAT